GGGAGGGGCTCAGGAGGAAGGTATCAGAAGCAGGAGTCCCCAGCCGGCGTGGCTCAGTGGTTAGAGTGGCACACGGGGCCATTTGGAGCACGTGTGGGAGGCAGCCAATCAATGTCTCTCCCTCTCCCTCCCTCCCACTCTCTCTAAAAATAAATACATTAAAATTTTAAAAATCAAGGAAGCTACCCTGGGGTGAGGATTAACAAAAAACACATCACATGAGTGATGTAAAGGCCGATATAGGCCCACAGCCCGTATGTGGACACGTGTGAGTCTGAGGCAGGGTGTGTGTGTGTGTGTGGGGGGGTGCACTCCCCTCGCAGCGTCCAGGTGCTGGGGCCTGGGGGCTCCCGGGCTGCGCGTCCGTCCGTCCTCCTCAGGTCATCCGCATCCCCTTCAGGATCGAGGTGGACGACAGGACGGAGGCCTACCTGCGGGTCCTGCAGCAGAAGGTCACCTCCGACACCCAGATAGTGAGCCGCCCCCAGAGCCGGGCCCTGCAACCGCTGGTTAAGGGGCATCTGGAGATGTTAGGCCTGAGTTCACTCTCAAAGGTTCTGATCAGGTTCCCAAACTGCCCCACAGCGTCCGCCCTTGAGAAGGTGGCCAACTGCAGGGGGCTGTGCCCGCAAGGCGGGGCGGGGCTGCCAGGTCCCTGTTCCCTGGCGTCCGGGGGGCGGGGGTCCTCGGAACGACCAGGGTCTCCAGAGCTTTAAAGGTCACAGCCGTGGGGGCCGGGCACAGCTGAACCTCGGGCACTTCAGAGGCCCCTGCACTCATCCCGCGGGGAATGCCCTGACGGCTGCCCCGCCCTCAGCTTCCCGACTCCCTGGCTGAGGCCCTGGCCATCCCCAGGTGGTCTGCCTGCTGTCGAGTAACCGGAAGGACAAGTACGACGCCATCAAGAAGTACCTGTGCACCGACTGCCCGACGCCCAGCCAGTGCGTGGTGGCCCGGACGCTGGGCAAGCAGCAGACGGTGATGGCCATCGCCACCAAGATCGCCCTGCAGATGAACTGCAAGATGGGGGGCGAGCTGTGGAGGGTGGACATGCCCGTGAGTGTCCCCCGGGGTGGGCTGTCCCCCCCTCCTGGGCCCGCGTCTGACGGCGGTCTCCCTGCAGCTGAAGCTGGTGATGATCGTGGGCATCGACTGCTACCACGACACCACAGCCGGGCGGCGCTCCATCGCCGGCTTCGTGGCCAGCATCAACGAGGGCATGACCCGGTGAGTCCGCCAGGGAGCTGGGAGGAAGCGCCTGTTGGCTGCCCGCCCGCCCGGCCCAGCCTCCCTCCCCATCCCATCCCCATCCCCGTCCTGGCCCTCGGGCTGCAGGGGTGGAGACCGCGGCTGCGTGGACAGCCGAGTCTGGTTGAAGGGGGACCCTCTGGGCTGTGCGGGAGGCTGAGGCCCTGGGGCAGCTGCAGGTGGACACGGACTTGGCTTGGAAGCCCCCGTGGGTTCGTGTCACTGAGTCTGACGCAGCGACCTGTTCCCGGGCTCCTTTCGGGACGAAGGGGGTCGCGGGGACACAGTGAGGGTGTGACGTCCCCGTCACCGTGGGTGTCCCGGGCCCCGCGGTGCTGACAGGCCTCCGTGCGGATGCGTGTATTGGCCTCTCAGGACAAAGGTCCCGGTTTGTGGGGTGGCTCAGGGTCGTGCACCTGTTACTCTGAGATGCACCAGGACCCAGAGGGTCAGGGCAGGTCAGAGCTGAGGCTCGGGCTGAGGCTGACTCCGCGCTCCCTCCGCAGCTGGTTCTCGCGCTGTGTGTTTCAAGACCGCGGTCAGGAGCTGGTGGACGGGCTCAAGGTCTGCCTGCAAGGTCAGTGCCCACTGCCCCTCCCCGCCCTGTCCCCGTCGCCATAAAGCTGCCCTGAAGCGCGGCCCTGCCCCTGCCAAGTGGGGTGGGTGCTGCCTGCTGCGCGG